CAGAGTGTACTTCGCATACTACACTTGTACGGAAAAGTCACGACTTTCGAGCTAGAGCTGCCAAAACACTGCAAACCGATGCAGAGGAAAAAAACCGATACTGACCGATACTAGGGCATAAGGATACAAGGGTTGTCCACGGGATTGTTTTTTCAATCCACCTGCTATAAGTCCTAAGTGGGTCGTGCCTTTGAGTAGGCTTTCGCACGCTGGAAATCGGAGGGTCAGGTGGTCATGTCCGGCATGCTGAGGCGTCCTGGAATGGAAGAAGTGGTGGCTCTGGCCGGCCACCCAAGCAAGTCTGAGCTGCCGAACCTGTTCGGTGTCCTTTTTGGTTGGTTTGCTGACAAAAAGTAGAGGGACTGGTTTAGATGGTTTATTCCATTTACCAGGGCCATCTATTTTGTCAAAAGGCCACCTATGAGCCGAACCTGTTCGGACACGCCCCAATTTTAAAGTCTCTACAAAAAGCAACTGGACAGGAAAACAATTCGAAAGGATCTCCATGCTGAAGGCCCCGCAGCGGACAAGTCCCTTTCTCACAGGGAATCCGCAAGAGAAAAGAACTCTTTGTTGAAGGTAGAAGGCAAAACGAAGTAAAACCAGCTCACACATGGTGAAGGCTCCTTGAATAGGAAATCCCAAAATGTTGAAGGTGCTAGGGATGAGGAATGCGGTTCTTCACATTGCGACAGTCAATTGTTGAAGGTCCTTTTGGAGCCATTTGGTGACTTATATGAATCTGTGCAGACTTCGGTGAGGCTTCAGCCCTGTTTTCCTGGTCTAATTTGGTAAGCGCTGTCCCATACCCTCGTAGCGTCTCAGGGAGGGATGTCGCAGATCTGCATGTTTTGCAGCTTGGCATGTAAGTCAAAGGAAGCCTCTCTAACAGTCCAAAGCCCTTTGACATTGATGGATATTGCTCGAATAACGGCGGCCAACATTGAGAGTACCTCAAGAGAGAACAGTTGTTGAAACGAGTATGTGAGTGTTTTTAGCCCTGCTGTTTTTGATTCATTGCGCGGCGCCATGTTCAAATGCGGAATGTCCTGCCATGTCCTGGCTTTTCCCGAGCTTACATTCGGCTGCCATGTCGGGCGGCAACCATGATACTGGCCCTGTGATTTCACCAAAGATTTAGGCTCCAGTTCAACATTCAGCGACCCCCGGTTTCCTCATTTGACCACCAGAACCACAAGGGAAGAGACGACCCTGCCGTGCTGTGAGTGAAACGCTCGGACCGCGGACCGACTGCGAGGACTTGTACCTCCTAAAGCTGGGCTCAGGACCTTTGAGGCGCGGATGTGCCGTGGACCGGGCTGCGGCTTGAGTGGGGCTAACTAGTCAATGTTGACTTTGGAGTAGTCCGGAGGATTGTTGGAGGATTGTTGAAGGACCTATAGATCGTTTCCTCACTAAAAGGGAACCTGAAACTCGACTCCGGTCCCAGGCCCAAGCGGGTTGACCAAACGCTTCCCAGAAGTCGCCTTTTTGGGGTGATTACATGGAACCCGAACCCCGGGCCGATGAGTTGGTTTCGGCCTAGCGCAAAAAGAGAATCCAAGACACCCGCTCCATGAACATCCACAGGGATTTAGCCAACCCCCCTAGCATGATGCGGGCAACCTTTCAGAGTTTGCGCTGACTTCTTTGAGGGGCAACCAGTTGCCGAACTTGGCGTGAATTTGCATGCGAGGGCGTTCCTGGAGCTGACCAGATCTGGCCTGAACACGGACATACCCGGACTGCCGCGGCCTGAGCTGTATCCGATGGTCCCAAGACCCATAGGTGCCCTTCTTTGGGTTAGTTTGGTAAGAAACAGATGGGTTTCACTGGTTTAGATTGGCTTCATGTGACCCATTTAGAAAGGCATTCGGGACAGTTGGTAAAGAGATGAATCCTAGGCGGTTTCAGAAGATCCAATTTCAAGGCGTTCCCCAAGACGAATGTTGACCATGGAGCGCTTGGGGGCACAAGGAATAGGGATGTGCTTCGTCACTTGCACGTGCATAGGGAATCCAAAGACGACGCTGACAACGATGTTGTACCGGCTCTTGTTGCGAAACTGCCAGACGCAGTCCTGGGGAGAAAATATGTGCTTCCCGATGGCTGTAGCATGTCCATTTGGGCATGTTTACTTGGGTGAAGGGGATAGATGCCTTCTTTTTGATCGTATTGTGCATGATCAAAAACTGCCCAAGCATCCTGGTGCAAAGCAGAGCGTGAGTTCAGCAATCACGAGGGTGGACGAGTGGGGCAAGGGCTTCGTTGGGGAGCTCGACTACCTCCAAGAGGCCTGAGGTTTTGGAGTGTATGGTTGCCCCTTGCGCCAATGTAGAGCATGGGCACATACTGCATCTTTTTACCGAAAGTTGCAGTTCGATCAGCAGGTACGCGGGACACTCTCGTGATGTGCATTGTTTGATTTGCAAAACATGTAGAAACATACGAGCACTCACATCCTCAGAAGTACTTGGACCCGTTTTGCCGCAGGCTGCGAACGCCGTCTTGTTCCAGCACGACATTGAGAAGACCCCTCTGGCCGGAGCCGTCATGCTGGCTGGTTGCTCGCTCGCGCCATGGGGGTTGGAAGCGCCAAATCCAAAGGGCCCATGCCGTTTGAAGCGTCGGCATGCCAAAAACCACGAGCTCAGAGGTGCGGAGCAAATGGGGGACCACATGTGACCACTATGACACCTGAACCCGCTAGCGACATGACTGCGGGATCTTCAGCGAAGATGTTTGGGTTTGACCCATTGAACACACCCTTCAGCAATGTAGGGAATTGGGAGAATAGTTGGCTGTCTCTCAATGAAACCCTTCCCCTCTGTTCCGTTTGCGATCTTTTCTCGGCCGTGATGATTAAAGGGAAATTACACATGACAATTGTTGGTGGGCACAAATACCCTTAAAACTGTCCTGGGTTTGGGGCCAACGCTGCCACTCGTTGAGAGTACCTGTTTTGGTTTGAAAGGGACATCACGCATTTGGTGGGCAACCCATTTCTGGGATTTTTGTTGAAACGTTTGTACAATTTGAGATTCACCAAGTATTGGCCAAAATCACAACTGTATGTTGGCTCGGGGCACAACAGATGAAGGCTTACACACCCATACCATAGCAAACAAAGCACAATTAAGAAATATGTTTCTGTACCCTGGAGCCCATAGAGGAATCTGCTGTTGGAGTGTTCTTTTGTGTTCCTTCCGTTGCAGCGGAGTACCCTCTCCACAAACATGGAACCTGAGGTTTCGGGGTGGTTTTGTCAGTTTTCCTTTGCCAGGGTTTCATAGATGGCCTGGGACGAATCGCTACATGGTTAACATGTGTGGTTTTCTCGGGGACTCACAGCCATGGTAATCGAGTGGGTTATGGTTATCTTACAACCCATGACTGCAAGCAGGGTTACAACTAGCCACTTAGCGCTTCGTCCCCGGGCTGTCGGGGCGATCCAGAAACCGCCGCGGCCAGGTCTTTGCTCCGCCGCCCATCGAGTCCTGCTCCAGCGCCAAGGCGAGAGATCGAGCGAGAGCGCGGGGCGACACTAAACTTTCTTTGTATACATACACCAATATACATGCATATACATACATGTATAAGATGTATACATATATGCATATATATACACGCATGTATATATATATATATATTGTTCCGTCCACGTTGAGTCGGTCAGGTTTAGCTGTCTCACTTGCTCTTTCCACTCATTCTGCTTTTCAGAAACCGCCCGAAACTATCGAGGCTGGCTGGTGTTTTGTGAGCGCTACCATTTGACCGGAGAAACGTTCAGACGGGCACAGGAAACCTGAAGGCAACTGTCAATTTGTTCGGGAACTCTCATGTGTCTTAAAACAGGGGAACCCAAAGGAGTAGTTGTCCTCTGTTTGCCTTTGGAACCACATCACTTGGCACTTTGGTTAGCTGGACATGCGATTTGACATCAACCCGGCCTTCAAAAAGAATGGCAATTTCCTTTGCAAGGTGCTGACCACTGAGTGGGTGGTTGGCGAACGCCTGGAGACCAGCGGGGCTGAGGAGCGTCCCCAGCTGAGGGTGGCCCATGTTGGGTGGCTTGGATTTGGAGTAACATTTAAAGCCTGGGTTCTTCTGGGATTGGCAGAAGACCAAACCACCAAACCACCAATTAAAGGGAGGCTGACTTTTCAGGTTTCCCCTGCATCGACCATACAGTTGCAGCTTTTTTGAGCATGAACAATAGCGAAATCGATTTATGTTTGACTTTTGGCTGTTGGCCTCACAGCTGCTTACCCTCCAAATGGGTCAAATGCTGGTAAATTCGTATTGCCTACATGGATTGTTTGGGTATCCTCGGACTGGTTTTTGTTGTGGGTTGACCTGCCCGTACGAGGTGTTTGTGTGTTTGTGTTTTGGCGCCCTACCAGGTTTGGTCGGCTGACCTGGCAGTGCTTCAAAAGTTGCGCAGGACGTTACGAAGCTATGCTCTGTTGCGATGAACACCTACCTGACCATGATGCTCGAGACTGGAGTTCTGCATGCGGACCGGGAAGCCGGCATGTGTGCAAGCACGGTCCATGTCAGTGCTCGGAGCAGGTTTACCAACATGGGCTTCGCCTGGGTATGAAAATTGACCTCACTTTCCCATGATATTCAATTCCACCGGCTTCTAGAATAGTTTGTTAATATTTGAGACGGGGAGCATCTAGCGCAAATGAACCAGAGTGAGTTAATTGTTTTAGCATTGAGAATCTCCCTTTCGGGGCAGTCAATCTTTGGCGTTCTGTCGTTTATTTAATGGCCTGCGGCCTGGTTCCGCCGCCCCCACACACCTTAGAATTTCGGCCCAGGACGAGAGAAAGCACGCGATATGTAGACAGACACAGACAGACACAAAGACACGCAGACAGACACGCAGCGGGGGGGGAGGGTCTTCGCGGACACGAAGACAGACGCAGATGCGCAGGCAGACGCAGACAGAGCCAGACAGACACAAATACACAGACAGACACGCGGGGGGGGGACACGAAGAAAGACGCAGATACTAGACAGACGCAGACAGACACAGACAGACACAAAGAGACAGAGACAGACACGCAAGGGGTCTTCGCGGACACGAAGACAGACGCAGACAGACCCAGACAGACACAAAGAGACACAGACAGACACGCAGGGGCAGGGGGGGTCTTCGCGGACACGAAGACAGATGCAGATACGTAGACAGACATAGACAGACACAGGGGGGGGCGGAGGGGTGGGGGAAGACTACCACACCACTGACACGCGCGTTGTTTGGTCCCGAAACAGTATCGGAAGACTACGGGAAGAAGCCGAAAGATTGCGGAAATTTACGGGAGGAAGCTTGAAAGATTTCGGAAGACTACGGGAAGAAGCCGGAAGACTACGGAAGACTACGGAAGACTACGGGAAGAAGCCGGAAGACTACGGAAGAGTACGGGAAGAAGCCGAAAGATTACGGAAGATTGCGGGAAGAAGCCGGAAGACCACGGAAGACTACGGGAAGAAGCCGGAAGACTACGGAAGACTACGGGAAGAAGCCGGAAAACTACGGAAGACTACGGGAAGAAGCCGGAAGACCACGGAAGACTACGGGAAGAAGCCGAAAGATTACGGAAGATTGCGGGAAGAAGCCGGAAGACCACGGAAGACTACGGGAAGAAGCCGGAAAACTACGGAAGACTACGGGAAGAAGCCGGAAGACCACGGAAGACTACGGGAAGAAGCCGGGCCGGAAGACAACGGAAGACGGGGGGGAAAGGGGGGGGGAGGGGGGGGAGGGGGGGAGGAGGGGGGGAGGGAGGGGGAGGAGCCAGGAAGGAGCTAACCCACAAGCAAATATCATAGACCCCCACCCTATGGTTTTCACGCCATTTCAAAAGCGCCCCGCAAAATCTAACATTAAAAAATGGCATAAATCCCGTAAAAATCAATCCACCCACCAATTGTTTTAAGTTATTCATAAAAGCATAACTTAAACCAACTCAATTTTCCTTAACCTCGTTCTTTTCCAGATTTCCCTTATGCCTGTAAGTTTTTTCGTGCCTTGGTTTATGCGACCTTTTTATATCACAATCGCACACATCACAATGATACACTACTTGGTGCTTCCTCCTGTTCTTTTCACGGCACTTATCACAAACCTTGTAAGGTTCAGTGAATAAATCCACTTCCTTATCCTTCTGACAACCCGAGCAATATTTCCTTTCCATAATTCCTACAATGCTTTCCCCACATCCCTTTAAATAGTTTTAAACTAAATCATTATCATGAGCTTAGGGGTAAGACCCTCGTAGAAAAAAACCACCAAACAACAAACCAAACAAAAAACCAAACAACCGACCATACAATAGACAATTACAAAACACTCACCAACGAAACATTCCAAAGCTTCTTTTCAAAGAGCATGAACATAAATCTTACAATGTTTTTATTGTAAGGTTTATGGGTTAATCTTCTTCAAAAGGTGGTATTTTAAACACAGGACATTCCACAAATTGATTACAGCATAAATGTTTTCGGTGCCTTTTGTTGTCATACATATATTGTATAACCTTATTAAAATCAGCAATTGTTCTATCCAAGTTGAATTTCTCCAACTTAATAATGCCAATTACCATATCTACATCATTATTACCTATTCTCCGATAAATTTGTTTTAGACAGTCTATCCTTTTAAATGAAAAGTTAAACTCCTCTCTCAATACCTTTTTATCTGGAAAGAAATTACATTTAACAAACAAATATGTTAAACCATCAATTGCTTTACATTTGTTTTTTCTTTCAACAATTTTAGGTAGTCTCCTTAGGTATTGGCAGTCTTCACATTCTTGATAACTAAATTTACATATATCATTGATAATATTATGAGGTAAATTTAATTTACATAATTCAACCTTGTTATCTTCTAATTTACAAGGGCAATTTTTGATTTTAGTTTTCATAATTTTACACATATCACTTACATAAATTGTATTCAATAATTCATTAATAATATTTTCTTGCTCAATTTCACTGAACATTTTCACTAATATATATAGGTATTATTTCTTTAAACCCTTTTTAGTCTAAAACTATAATTTCAACATTTCATGCCTCAATAATGGTTTGGGTCTTCCATTCACATAGTAATATTTCTGCCCCAATTTAGTTTCTATTCTTTCAATTGTGAAGATTTCTTTTAACCAATGACTTGTATGTGCTTTCTCGCTTATTCCCTTTTTTCTCATTATTTTTACTTGACTGGATACATCTAAATCAGGATACACACGGGTTTTTCTGGCATTCATTGATATATTCAGTTTAACCTCAAACTCATTTTTCTTTTTCCTTGCTTCTATCGGTGTCATTTTCGTAACGGAACTTACTAATTTATTATTATATGTCAATAATATTTCTAAATTGTAATCTATCCATTGTATATTGTTTTTACCTTTCTTTTCATCCGCATCAACTCTTTTAAAAAGCATATCTTTGTAGGTTCTAATAAATCTTTCTCCAAAAGCAGGGTGGCCTCTCGTGGTGTGTAATTCAATTTTTTCCTCATCAAGATAATCTGTAATGGTAGAACTAAACAAACTGCCTTCTTCGTCGCTGTATATCATTTTGGCTTTTCCGCCCATTTTCTTAATGCCTTCCATTATTCCTGCTAATACGTCTGGCGGTTGCTTACTTGCAATAGGTATTACAGTAGCATATTTACTAAATATATCAATTAATATTAATCCAATTCTAAACTTTTGATTTTCCAAATCATTTTTTGAAATAAAGAACAAATCTAACTGAAATTCCCAGAAGGCATGAGGAGCAACAAAACTATTCTGCCCTCGCATTTTCCTTTTTTCCTCAACATTCTTTTTAAAGAACTCATTAACATCGTCCGCAGTAATAGTTTTATCTTTCTGTCTGGCATCTTTCAACGTTATTCCTTTACTGCCATAACCGCTTTTATCGTAATAAATATCACTAATTATTTTTTGTTTATCCATATAATTAATTAAGATTTTAATATAAAAAATATTAAAATATTAATGTGCTGATACATTACAGTAAAAGCAATAAGCAACACAGTTATCCATTTCATGCGCTGTAGCATTACATAACCTTTGTGCTGTAAAATTGCTACATAATTTACCTTTCTTCGTTTCAAAGTTAAATGAAGTATTACACTTTTGGCATCTGGCGCGAAACTGTGATAAACACCATTCAGGACTAATGTATTCTTCCTCATTAATTTCTCTTTGAGCGCGACGGTCTTGTATCTTATAATTTTCTACTTTGTTTTTAAAATATCTCATTATCATATTTTTATCCATTTGCTTATCAAAGTCTGGATTACAATAAAATTTAACTTTCCTAAAATCAACACAGCGAGTCAATGCCGTCCATATCCACTCTCTGCTGGTTATGGGTAAGTCCCATTCGTGAATAGTTATGCTTTCCTTTACGCTTGACCCCTGGCTTGAATGACAAGTAGCACAGTAAGGATAGATGAAGTTTTTATCTACAATAGGTTCAGACAACATAAACTCATCTTCTTGTCTTGCTATATTCTGTAATGTTATTTGTTTTCCTGTTTCATCATCTTCTATCTTTGTAATCCTGTATCTCAAATTGATATTAACCCTTGGTTGTTTAATCCATGTTCTGGCAACCAAAATATCACCCACTACATATTTCTCACTTATGTTTAATCTGTCTCTAATCTCATTTGCTACATTTTCGCATCTCATATTGGTATAAGCGATATTATGCTCTGATGCCATGATGTCATCGGTTAAATAACTGTATTTAAGTATAAACTCTTTGCGTGGAATGTTGTTTTCCCACCAGTCATTATACATATCATTTAATATTTTTCTGTTTCTTTCTCCTTCTGCGCTGTCCTTGGCTCCTACTCTCTTACATATTTTTAAGAAAATATTATATTTAAACATTGTGTCTATACAGTTGTCAATGTATGTTGCGGGGTCTTGGCAGTTTGTCATGGTTTCCACCCCTTCTAATTGTTTTACATCACCAGTAGCAATTCTGATAATATGAGTGTTGTTTTCCATAAACTGCCAAACTTTATTCAAAGTGTATAAATTCAACATATAAATCTCATCAAACACTATTACATCATAAGGCGAATAATCATAAATTGGTAATTTCTCTCCGACATCTTCATGAACGGCAATGCTAAAAAACTTGTTATATGTTGTTGCTTCTATTCCTTTATCTTGTATTTCTTGTAGTTGTCGGTTGGTAGGCACTACAAATAATACATTCTTATTCATCTTTTGGAAATGCTGACCTATATAACTCTTGCCTGTGCCCGGAAATTTACCCCTAACAATTACTGGATTTTGTTTAATAACTTTTTTACAAATGCTTTCAGTATTCCATTCATCTTCAATAGAAATATTAATATTCTTAATCTTCGGTATTTCAGGTAATTCATTAAACTTATACTTATATGGTTGTGTCGGTAATGTTATAGTGTGCTTCTCTTCCAGTTGGGAAGTTTCACTTCCCAAGTGCTGG